TTGTTTGTGGTCCTCTCTAACTCAATGGATTTGTAAATGGAAATGGAACAGCATGCCCAAAGGACAATAGGCTGCTGCCTGTGAGATGGGATCTTTGTGTTTAAAAGATATTTCAATGGGGAAGGGAGTGGATTCCCCCTTTTTATTCATTTAGCAGGGTCACACAGAATAAAAACAGGCAGTCCAGATGTACCTTTTTTAAGTGGAGTGATTCCTTTTCTTGTCAGTTGAGATACACACCCTGTGAGGTTCCAGTGTTGCTGAACTGTAGTTATACGAGCAAACACGGATGGGAGTTGCAGTCCAAAAATGTCCAGAGTGCCACATGTTGTTTACCCTTGTGGTAAATCATTGTCCCGTTTGCCCATATTAATACCACTCAGGACTTGTCAGATGTTTGTTAGTAAACTGCTGAAGTTACCACTTTTCTGAATTCATTTCCCCCCCCCCCCGCGCCTCTCAAATTTAAATCTCTGGGAAGGTGGGTGATGTCTTTCATCTCTGGTGCATATGTGTATGCCTGGATGCCAAGGTGGAATCACTATACAGTACACACTTAATTAGGGATACCTTCCCTTGAAAGCCAGTGACTATACTTCAGCAGCTGCAGTATAGTTTGAACTGCTAATAACCTAACCTGCTTTAAGGCATTTTATGTGTGAGACACTTCTCAGAAGAATGGAATTGGCTTTTTTCATTGGTGGAAGTCCAGGTATTGCTGAGAAATTTTACTCTTTGGAACTACAAATCCCCAGATTCCTTGCTAGCATGGTGTGAGGGTTCAAACCTAGCCTCCTTTTCTTTATCGAATAAAACAGGAGTCGTTTTTAAAGTCAAATCCAAACTGGGGTTTATTGTCTCATTTAAACGTAAAACTTCATTCAACAGTTCGTCTTGTAACTTCTCTCCCGGCACTAACGGATACCGCAAGGGCAACCAAACATCCGGTTCGAAGGGGTTCAGTGATTTAGTTTCCCAGGGTCCTGGTAAGAAGGGCTCACAACTTCTACCGGGGAGTTCTTCTTCGTCTCCTAATAACGGTAGGATCTCCTCATCTCCATTCTCTCTCCACAACAACTCTTCCTCTCTCTCGAAGGAACCCCACGGTCCTGGAAGTACGCCATCCTCCACGCTTCCCCTGCACGCCATGCCCAGCGTTCCTCGGCTTCCCTGGCTACCACCTCTTTCTCCTCCTTTATCCTCCTTCTCCATTCTCGTGCCTCTGACTCACCCCAGTAAGAGGGACACTGGGGTAATCCCTTTCTCTGGCGATAATCAGCCTCTTCCCTGGGTACCTTTACTTTCTCCTATTTCCCAGTCCCGGGATCCTCGATCCCAATCAGTTCCCAACCCCCCAGTATGCTGTCTCCCTCCTTTTTTTTCTCCCCCATTCCTGCCTCTACTACGGACCTCCCCCTTTCTTCCCTTCCCACCAATTCCCCTTCTTTCTGAGTAGCCACAGTTCAACCCCAAAGGTTCTCTTCCAGTTCCCAGGTGTCTATTCCCCGATGTATACTTTCTCGAGGGGTTGGCAGAGGGGTGGTCTGCACCTCTTTGGACACCCTATAGACGGACGGCACTCCAACGAGAACCTCTATGCTCTCGTCTCACCTTTGACACATGGTCCATGGGGACAGAAAAGAAATAGTTTCCTGTGATTCAGCAAGGACAGTCTATGTATGGCAACAGGTTTCTTTGCTGTTTTCATTCCAAGCACACCACCAGCTATTTTGGGGGAAAAAATGAATGTAGTCATATAACCTGGAATGAAAACAGAAGTCTCAATTGGATGTAACTTGATTAATATACTTAAGACTTCTCTCTCTCTCTCTCTCTCTCTCTCTCTCTCTCTCACACACACACACACACACACACACACACACACACACACACACACACAAATAAGTAATCANNNAGCTTTGAGAGGACTACTTGTGGATGGGTCCTTAAACTACTTCTGCCCCAACATGACAGGTCCTTCGGTATCACCTTTGAGAGGACTAATCACTTCTTGTGGATGGGTCCTTAAACTATTTCTGCCCCAACATGACAGGTCCTTCGGTAGCTGCGTGTTCAGGAAATTCTCATTAACCTCTGAGTGTTTGTGGGCATCTGTAAGTCAGGGATGTATTCAGTATTCAGGACAGCAATAACACTAAGAATCAAATCTATTTATAGCCCCATAGGTTTTGTTTGGATATTGCAACTGTTGAAATGTCTCATTTCTCAAACTATATAGGATGAAGGAAAGAACCTCAGGACTATAGTAATTACTGATTTTTTTTAATATAGCGGGAAACACAGAATGGGCTGTCTTGAAGTGGTGCCTAAGATGAGTGCTAATTACAAACGGCTCCAAAGACATTGTAAAATAATAATAATTCCCAGTAGGGTGGAGCAGGAGAGCTTCACTGGAAAGAGTGAAGTGCTGTAATGACTATGATGATGGTGGCCTTCTTAAAAAGAAATATGGTGGTGCAGTCAGGCTGTAAAAAAGATCAGAGATGCCACAAGATCTGCTACTTCGTGATGCATAAAGGCAGCATGCAAGCTTTTGCAAACATATGTTTTGTGCCTGTCTCCTGCCAACTAAAATTAAAAATGATCTAGCTAAAACTCTCTTGTCTATTAGAAGGTTAAAGAGACAGCAAGTTATTATATCATCTGTGAACAGAAGATTGACTGTCTTGACTGGTGAATGACAGGAATGAATAGCTTTGGGTCAAATGGCCTACATTTCATTTCAACTTCTGCTTTACCTGTGTTCTAGAATGAGTGTATTTTTTTCAACTTTTAGCTAAGCCATATTAAAGTTGTAGGCAGTGAAAAATTTGTTCTTGTGACAAGGCCCATATAGGTAAAATATTCATGAAGGGTGCAGAAAATGTTAATTTCTGACATATGGGGAAACCTGGTTACATTTAACTACCGTATTTGCCGGTGTACAAGATGACTTTTTGGCCCTGAAAAACATGCCTCCAAGTGGGGGGGTCGTCTTGTACGCTGGGTGCATGTCTAGCAAACCCTCCCTCTCTCCCACCGAAGTCACTTACCTGGTAGTAAGACCCAGTAGAGCCCCGCTCCTAGCCTGGGAACAGCCTGACTCTAGCGCCGAACAGCTGACTGTTGGAACAGCAGAGAGGCGGCAGCCATTTTGAGATGCAACCACATGACTGCTGCCTCTCCAAAATGGCTGCCGCCTCCGAAAAGGAACCAAAAGGGGCAAAAGGAACTCTCCCCATGATGCAGCCAAAGCAGAATCTTGCATGCGGAAGAGGGGGTAGTCTTATACAGCAAGTATATAACAAACTCTACATTCTGAGTGGGAATGTTGAGGGGCCGTCTCATACTCCCAGTCGTCTTATACACCGGCAAATACGGTCGTTCCAAAAGTGCATTTCCAGAAATCAATTACAAAAATGATATTGTAAAGTTTTTTCTTTGAATCCTTCCCTGCCAGTGACTGGCCAGTTTGTGATCTTGTACTTATATGCCAGTGTGCAAAGAACTTAAACCTCAACCAAGTTGACAGGAAAAAAAATTGATTAACTTGAAATATGATTCTGGAGGAGAGATTTTCAGATACCCAGGGCTGCCAGAAAGATGAACAAGTGGGTCCTAGATCAAATCAAGCCTGAACTTTCTCTGGAGGTAAAAATGTTGAAACTGAGGCTGTCCTATTTTGGTCACATCATGAGAAGGCAGGATTCTCTGGAAAAAACAATAATCCTGGTAAGGGTTGAAGGCATCTGGAAAAGAGAAAGATAACATACAAAGTGGACTAACTCTTTAAAGGAACCACAGACTTGAGATCACAATAGCTCAACATGGCATTTGAACACAGGGCGTGTTGGGGAGCTACAGATTATGTACAAGGTGCAACACTTTCCCCGCAGTATATCGATTCTGCCTCTTTCACCCAACATTCCCCCTCCAGTGAACTCCTCTCAGAAGAAAACTTGGAAATGTTTTTAAATGCTTCTGATCAGTGTTGTATCATCTGTCAAAATTTTAAAGAAGGGACGTTGATGGTAACAGTCTGAAGTGGAAGGATAAGGAGGAAGCGGGGAAGAAGCAGTGTTGCTATGGTGGGAGGCTGTGTAGCCAGCGCAAATTTTATGCAGTGTGGACTCTTGCAGTGGGATAAGTAGTCATTTCTCTGAAAGGCAGCAAGAATTTAACAGTAGATTAACTGCCAGTGGCATGGGATAGAAACCCCTCAATCCGACCACAACAACCTCCCTGTCTAGCGAAGCTCCATAGGGTTGGTTGGTTTTGAAGATTTTGTTTATGTGCTTTGTTTCCATAGTCAGACTAAAAATATAAATATAAACCTCTATTAAGAGTTTCAGACATGCAAATGGGAATTTGTGTATCCATAATTCAGAAGACAGTCTTTCATATTCACATTTGTTTTAGCAGTCCCATTCATTGAGAAGCAATGGCTCTTCCCCTTTAAAAAGAGGTCAGGGAAGTAAACTTTACAAAGCCCATCATTCACCTGTCTGTCTTGTTCTGTAGTTTCATAACAATATAAGAAGTCTGGAGGGGAAAAGCCATAAAACCTCCAGATTTGCCACTCAGCTCCTTTTCTTCCCTGCCTTTATTGCTTCAGGCCCTCTTCCCAGACTACAGTACCAGAAGTGAATCAAGAATGGAGGAAAGTGTCTGAAGCAATGATGGAAGATAAAGCCCAGGAGTGGGAAGAGTTAGTTGAGCACCACTCTTCTAAACATTTATTTTACTGTTGAAATAAGAGTCTACTTATCATTCAACAGGGTGGACATATTTTTTTTTATTTGGCCCCGTGTGTCATCATTCAATTTCTTTACTTTCATGAGGTTTCATGTATCAGAATTAATTGCATGGATCAATTAATGCTTACATATTGTAAGTCAGAGAACTTAGTAGCTCAATCTATGTTTGATTTACTGTACAATTTAGACCTTGAGTTTTGTATGATTATCGCCCATCACGGATTTCATGGTTCTTTGTTTCAGAACTTCAGAGAGTCCGCCAGTTATCAGAAAATACAAGGTACTTCAGACGAAGATTGCATGAACTAGGCTTCATTATTTATGGCAACGAGGATTCTCCTGTTGTCCCTTTGCTCCTTTACATACCTGGAAAAATAGGGTAAGTATATTCTGTTGCCCTACAAAACTATGCAGGGTTTTTCTGATTTTACTTGTAAACTCAAATAGTACTTCACAAAACCTTTTAAATATGTGCTTATATACAGAGAGAGGATACCCAATGTGATGGTAATGGATATGGTGACAGACTAGGACTCAGGAGGCCTGAGTTAAAATGTCCACTCAGCCATGGAAAACTCACTGGGGGGTAGTAAAACGATTCCTTAAATATCTTACATTGAAAGCCCTATTAGAGTCACTATAAGTTGATCCTGCCTGGACAGCTCATGCACATAAGATACAGAGAGAGAGAGAGAGATGAATATAGGAAACTGCCAGACTGTTTGTCTATTTAGCCTCCTATTTTCTGTTCTGACAAGCTGTATCTGCTAGGTTCTTCTCTTTTACCACTTGATCCTTATGGTGTGGGAGAAGAAAAACACCTCTGTAGAAAAACCCCAAGTAAGGCAGTTTAAAGTGAATAATCAGAAAGCACCTGCAGAATCAGAGTGAAGACCTATCTAATTGAGAATTCTGGTGCCATAGTGGTAAGATTACCATATTCCAATTCTTTAAATCTGGCAAGCCATATTGTTTATACTATGCTAATTATATGTGCCAATTGCATAATTAATATGGCTTTTTCATATCATGCAAAAAAAGCATATTAATCTTTAAACACATACTGTATCTGAGTAAGCAGTTCAAAGAGCCATGCCAAGAGAAATATATGTTGAATTAGTTTTTCAAAAAGGACAGTATAGTTTCCTTCTCATTATCTGAAACTCTTTCTGAAAATCTAGGATTTACAAGAAATGGGGAAACAAACAAGAAGCAGGATCTTTTAATGATTAAATTTAATGTTTCACGAAGGGGATAGATTTACAGACTCCTGGAATTGTAGGGTTAGTAAGGATCCCAGTGATTGAATCCAAACCTCTGCCAAAGCAGGAAATGCATTAAGATGCATAATATCAGAACTCTGAAAAGTTGCTTTTTGGACTATGGCTCCCATACTATTCCAGCCAACATTCATTACTGTTGGCTAATTGCTTTCTCTATAATGTCTGCTTATACACAGTACAGGCAAACACTATATAGACAGTATTCTTGAAAACAGATTTCAGTTGTTTGCAAAATAACAATGTGTTCTCACAATCGTAACATTTACCAGTTTCTTTGATTTCATTTGTCTGAAGTCTGAAATAGGACTTAGTAGTCAGATAATAAGTCTTTTTCCTCACAAATAATTGAGGGACTACACATTTTGCCCTATATTTATGGTTTTAGAGGAGATAGGTACCTTTTTAAAATGAAAACATAAAATTTAGGCTAGTTAATGGTCCAAATGATCAGCAAGTAGAACCTCTAAAATCTGAGAAAACCCTACACAATGACCAACAACATGTCTCAATAGGAAGCTTGTGAAGTAGAACATGAGTACAAGTGCACCCTCACACCTGTGTTCCCTAGCAGCTAGTAGTGAAGGTCTACTTCATAAAGTGTTGCCAGTAACGTATAACAATTATGACCAATATCTTACTAAGCCCCATCAATGCCACAGCATCTATGTGATGGTCATCACTTTGCTCATCTTTACTCAATGCACCTGCAGACTTTCCTTTCCCTGACGGCTTTAACTTCTTGCACCCAATTCCTATCCCTGCTTTCCCTTCCTTGTTGCCTCTTGTGGCTGCCTCCCCTTTTTCTCCTGCTGTCTCTCATAAGGATTTTTCTACTGTCTTCCATTTCTTTCTGTGGGCCTTCTGCACTGCTGCAGCCTATGTTGGAAGGCAGTCCTGTTCAGTTCATCTGCCTTCCTCTCTTCTAAAACCCTTTCACAATATTAGCTGTAGCATTGTAACATTACATTTGCTGCCGGGCATCCTTCCCCATTTCAAACCTCAATATCCTTTTTCAGACTATGCTATCCCTTTCTTAAGAATGGTTCATGTACTGCTGTGGTGCAACTGCAATATCAAATCATGATCTAATGTTCAGTGAACACAGAGGGAAGAGCCTTGGACTTCAGCATCTCCCCCTTTCCTTTGTAGAATGTCATTTCCTCTCTCTGGGTGAAACAGCTAACCAGGATTACAAACTGATTTCTGATCTTCATTTGTGGGACAAGTGCTAAATGTAAGGCAAGACTTGTGGGAAGGAATCATGACATATGAGAAGAAAAAGTGAACCTGAAACTTCTCACTGGTCATTCATACGCCACCTCATTGCATGTTTCAGATGTACCCCTAAAAATCCGCAGTATGAATGTGACAAATGATTGTTCAAAAATGCGCCTGTAATGAAGGTGCATCAGTCAAAGAAAAAGCTAGCACTGACTAAAAGGTGCATTTCTTGCAAAGCTAAAACCATTCTCCCCCACAGTTGCAGTGATAGCATTTTGCATTATCTTTGCACAGTGTCTATAATTACTTTGCACAAGAAGACTTATCTTTTTCTTTGAAACCTTTTATAGTTTGAAGGAAATAATTTTTCTTTCACCTCATTTCTTTGCCCAGGGCTTTCTCCAGACGCTTGTTAGCCAAATATATTGGGGTGGTGGTGGTTGGCTTCCCAGCCACCCCCATCACAGAATCCAGGGCTCGCTTTTGTGTATCAGCTGCTCATACACGGGAGATGTTAGACACGGTAAGCACAGCAGATGGCCTGAAAATGAATTGCACATGTTGGAGGGGCTTGAGAGAAGCCTTGCCATGTCTCTTGTTCTGTGTTCTCTTTACTGTCTCGCTTCCTTAATGTTCACCACTTAATTTTATATGTTTTGATTTTTTTAAAAAAATGGATATTTAGAGGATTGTTGGAAACAACAGATCTAACCTGCTAAGGAAAGATACAAAGTAATTAAAATACTATGTTTTACTGAATAAGATTGTCACCTTAGAAATATTCATGCCTTTGAACTTTATAAAATTCTTCATTTGGCAAAATGCAAAGCAGTAATATGTCAGTTATGTGTGTGCATGTACTTTTTAATATATCCATAGAGTGTGTACATTAAATGTGGCTGAAGTGCACTTTACCATTTTGAAAAGATTCACCGCATAGGTAGTGTATATTAGCAGGCCATGTCCCCATTCGGTGATCATACATTGCAGTGTCATAATCTCTGTTTTCACACCTTACTATATTGCATTGCCAGAGTTTATTGTATAGTCTTGGGCACATGTGTAGAAGGCATGAAACCTTCAGTGTTTTTTAAGTATCTTTTTTTTTTAGTCAAACCTACCATCTCACTCGAACATGATCGATTATTTATCTTTCAAAATGCCTGTCCATTTTTTGTATGTTCATCCTCCAAAAGGAGGGCAGAGGGGGCTTGAGACCCCTACGGTTAGGTAATGGGGGGTGAGCCCTTCCCTCTAATGATCAGCCAAATCAGAAGCAAGATTCATGTATAATTGATCCCTCAATCAATCAAAAGTATGCTAAAAACGAGGAGGCACAAAAAAGATGGCTCTTGCAACTTTCCAGGAGGCTTAATCCGGCAGCATGTAATCAGTCTTATGCATGCTTTCTTGGGCATAAACAGCACTGTACCAAAAACATGGAGTGAAGGTTAGATAAATTCATCAGAGTATTCAGTGTCAAGACTAGTTAAATAGAGCTGGAGAAGCAATCTTTAACTTAGAGTGCATCTACATGGTGGGAAAAATGCACATCAATCCTCTGTGAATTCACACCTGGGAAGATGGGTTTCCCCGGGGTTAATTTACTTCAGCCAACCACACAGGAATCAGCAGAGAGGGAGGAAATGAACCTTATTTGTAGCTTGTTAACCATTCAAACCCTCTCCTCCCCACACCTGATGCCTAGATCTACTCGTTTTCCTCTTTCCTCCACATTTAGTTTTTCCCCCTTCCTTTTAAAGTTTTGCCGGCCTAGCACTAGGGTAGGTAGGTAACCAAAGAGGCGAGAAGAGCAAGGAATTGACAGAGAGACAGGAGGCAATTTTCTTTAAAGCCTTGTTTCCAGCTTGTTAAGGGGGACAGGGGAAGCATGGACTTGACAAAGAAACAGGAGGAAATGTTATGGTAGCTCTGCTCTAACCATCCAGATTTGGAGGAGGCTCAGTTAGAACAGAACTTACAACTTCCACTTCTCTCTCTGTCAAATCCTTGTTCTTTATTTTCCCTTTGGTCATCTAGCTGTCCTAGCACTAGGGCAGCAAGCAAAAGAAAGAAACACGTGAGTAAACAAACAAACAACCACACCCAATGGGAAGGGAAGAGAAAAACAGACTCAGGCATCAGGTGTGGGGAAGAAATTATTCAAACAGCAGCCTGCTGCCCTGCCTCTCTCGCTGCTGCTATAGGTCAGTAGTTCTTAACCTTTGTTACTCGGATGTTTTTGAACTGCAACTCCCAGAAAACCCAGCCAGCACAGTTGGTGGTGAAGGCTTCTGGGAGTTGCAGTCCAAAACTCCTGAGTAACCCAAGGTTAAGAACCAGTGCTATAGGTGATTGGAATGGCTTCAAATAGAATAGCTACAAAACCCTTCATATTCGCTCAGATGATCACACTATTGGAAGCAATGTGAATGCATTTAATTCCAAAAAAGTAGAAGCATTGATTGCAAAGGGAAAAATACGGATTATAGGAGGAAAACCCCAGGCTGATTTGCATTGATTTTTATGTAGTCAAGAGAAAATAATGCAAATCAGCCCATCCCAGACCCGTAGCGTTTCTGCATTATTTGTCAGTGTGGCCACATCCTTAGTGACTGTGCCAACAGACAAGATGATGGCCTGACTGGAGAGTCTTCTCTCAATAGACTTGAGGTGTTTTCTCTTAAACAGCAGTTTCACCAAGCCACACATAGGCTTACTTCATGGAGGTATTTGCACAAATGGAGTATACTCACAGCAATGCTTTGTACTGTGTATTGAAGAAAAGCTTGCTGTAACATAGTGACTGAGACATATCCTTGAGTGACTAGCATGTGCCCAGAAAAATCATTTACATTTTTCTCTCTCTTTGCCTATTCTAATTTCTTTCAGTACTTTAATGGTTTTAAATAGTGATGGCTGAAATCTTTTTGTCAAGAACATAATGTACAAATGTTTGCCTACTGGTGCTACACTCCATGTAGTTAAAAAAAAGTGGGTTGCAGCCTACCAAAGCTTATGCCAGATTTAACTTGTTAGTTGTTAAGATGTCACAATAATTATTGCATTGTTATGTTGTCTATTCCCTAGCATTCCATTAACACATCTCCACATATTTTGCTTGCATAGTGTACAGGAGAAGATATGTTCTTAGGAGACTTTAAACCATATTTACATTCACTTGGCTGACTGCTTGTGGGGATTTTTGTGAGGTTTTGTTTGTTTGTTTTTGAGAGGATACTTACTTAAAACTAACATTTTCAATTCTTCAGTCTTAAGAACATAAAACCAGCATATTGGCTCAGACCAAGAGCCTGTCTAATCCATTACAGTGGTGCCTCGATTTATGGTCATAATCCGTTCCATAAGATGGGTGTAACTCGAAATGGTTGTAAGTCGAAGCACTATTTCCCATAGGAATGCATTGGAACGCAATTAATCCGTTCCGGACAAATAATAATAATCAACCCCCCCCCAAAAAAAAACACCACTCCAACCCATCAGAACACCATGGGGCTTGGGGGGAAATCAAACACCCCCCCCCATCGGAACACAATGGGGCTAGGGAAAAACACACACCAAAAAACAAAACAAAAACCACAGCACAGAAACATAACCCCCCCCAAAACCCACCCTGCAAAACCCAATAAATGTACTCACCCAGAAGCAGAAAGTAGCACCAGGCAGTCCGAAGCCTCTCTGCAAACGGGCGCACACTAACCGTTGGGGCAAAAGAGCTACAAAGATGCTCTTCGCCAACCAACGGTTAGCCCTCTAATTTGAATTCCCTGCCTTTTCCCTGCCTCTTTTATTTACAACTTGAATCTCCGACCGCAAGTCAAAGCAAAATTTTGCTGCCGGAGCTGGTCACAACTCGAAATGGTTGTATGTCGGGACTTTCATAAGTCAAGGCACCGCTGTATTCTGTTTGCACTATTCCAGCCAGATGTGAAAAGCCCATCACCAGGGTCTGAGTGTAACAGCACCTTCCATCTAATATTCCCCAGTAAATTATATACAGAGGTGCATTGGCTTTGATACTGGAAGTGTCAAAGTTATTGATTAATAAATAAAATACAGAGAAAACTATCTTGGTTAGAAAACACATTCCATTGTGATAGTATCTTCATCAGATCAGCCCAAAAGGCACAATGTTTTCTATGCATGGTTTTGAGTTTTAAAACTCTGTCAGACACAATGATGCTTTAAAAATGAGGGAGGGGAGCTTGATTTGAGAGCAGAATAGGCTGTGTTGCCTAAAGATTTCATGGAGTATGCACTGCAGACAGGCTGTTCCGGTGGTAGGTTTCAGCCCAAATGGCCCCAGGTATTTCTGGGAAACAAGCTGCAAAAGTTATATTTAGGCTCTATGGATTTTTTGCCCCGATTTTCATTACTTTCTTTACATTGAATTTTGCCATTTTAATTCCCATACATCTAATTTGGAGAAATACTGCTGGGACTCAATTTCATAATGAGCTGTCTGTCATTCCTGAACTCTCCCACTCACCAGAAAGAGTTCCTGTTTCACCTTGACCATGCTCCAAATAGGCACAGAATAATTAAAAAATAAATCAATAGATCTTTTGTAACTCAGAAAGTTTAACGTTCGAGTTTGGTGATGCTTCCCTTTGTTCTTCAAATGAAAAAGTATCCAACAGTTTTTTAATCCCAGTGAATTTAGCAAGATGTGAAATAACTCTGCTCATTATTCAAATAATGAAAATGTTTAAAAATGTTGTGCAGAACAAAGCCTTTCAAAGGAATGTTATAATTGTTGGACATAGTCTGGGCCTGTTCTTACCTCTCTGGTAAAAAAAAAAATTTGAGTAATTGATAACCAAAAAAGTCTGTATACTAGTACTATGTACTATTAAGAGCAGTTATTTCCCCTGCCTGTACACTGTTGGTACATGCAGTTGGTTTACACTAGCGTTTGTGTGAAACAAGTGCATGTTCTCTGTTGCTGTTTTGAAACTGAGATCTGAGCTTCCTGGAGATGGGAATAAAGTCTGCCTTGGAAACAACCATTTTAGCATCAGATAATTACTAAATGGTTTCTTAAAACCAGCATTATAGCATTAAGCTGTTTGATCCCTGTAGTCATATAAAGCTGTAATACTTTTTCTGTAAAGCAACATTATACAATATATGTGTAATGCTGATACTTACTTTAAAAATAGTTTTTAAAATGAATTTCTAGTCACTACCATTACGGATCTTGATAAAATTGTGGCACATGGGGAATATGGAAAATACAAATGCACTTCCTTTTAAGAAATAATTCACTATGCTGCTTTTTAAAAAAAAAATAATAATAATACTGTAACAAAGGCTGCACAGAATGCATGTTGAGCCTCAGGGTAAACTGCCCACACCAATGCTTCATCTTCTAAAGACAAAATAATAGCACTAAAGGCATCTACATGTTCATCTCAAGTCAGTTAGACTTCTTCAGGTCAGGAAAGAGATGGAAGCAGTGCCTGGAAAACTGCTGGAAAACTGCCGGGTTTGAGATGCATTATAATATTGTGCAGACACACACACACCCCTTTTCCCATAAACTATGAGTGAGCAAACCATGGTGCTTCAACCGTGCCATGCTTCATCTGAAAGCAATTGTATACTTTTGAAGCTTTGTAGACTTGAGAGAAACTTTGCATTTTTCTAATATAATGCAATTGTATTACAGGTTCTGGAAGCTTTGAATGAACTGGGTGATTTTTTGCAGCTGAAATATTCCCGACACTCCAGGTCATCTCGTCCTGAACTGTACGATGAAACAAGCTTTGAACTTGAAGATTAAGCATCCCTCCCATGGAGAACCATTATGATGTTATGAGGGGAGGGGGAATGGGGACCTAAACAATAAGGATGCATTTCTTCTTTTCTAAGGACACATTTTGCTTCACAGTTAATTGAACCAAAAGAAGTTCTGTATATGTTACAGGGTTGGATTCTGTGTGCAAAGGACTGGAATATTGCTACAGATTCATACCAAGGAATAGAAGTTTTAGTATTATTATCTTACACAAAAGACTTTATTCCATTAAGTTAATTGCTACTGTGCAGATTTTGTTACGGGCCTTTTTATGAGAAGTCTTTGAATAGTTCTTAATTATGATTACAGTAAATATTTTAGAAGAATGACTTGAAATTTAGCATGTTGGTTGAAGAAAAAAATGTACTTTTTGAACTGGCTTTCACTTGTAGAGCAGCGCTTCTTCTTTGGAGTTCATGTGAATTTTGGCAACGGGAAATGGCTAGCAAACATCTCTTGGCCTAACTGGTAGGTAAACAGATGCCTACCGGAGAAGCACTGGTCATTCAAAATTCGACTTAACATTAACAATTGCCAGCAAAAACGTATGAGGGATTGGGAAAGGTTGCCACTCCTTTTTGCCCAGTTGTGTTTTTTTCTAAATGGTTTTTAAACAGTTTTTGATAAAATTTGGCAATGGGTGGAGGCCAACGAAAATGTCAGTTTTGATTTTTACACAATTAGTGCATTGAATTATTTTATATTTAAAGCCAGCAACTCTTTTCTACTTGTTTGATCTTACAGCAGGTGTTTTCATACAGAGCTTTAAGAAACTTTAACTAGTTTGCAGTCTGAGTTGTTTTACAGTTTAGGAATGGGGCACATTATATTTTTGGACTACAACTCCCAATACCCCTGGTGGTCCTGCTGCTCAGATCATTTTGGGAGTTGTCTTAAAAAGTAATGTTTCTCTTCTCTGTTTACAGTACACAAAAATAGAACTGATATTTAAAAGCACATTTCCCCTTTACATGCTAGGGAATTTACAGGCTAGGGAACGCCTAGCTGTGAGTAAAGAACACTTTTACTTTTAATTACACCGAATATGATACTCAAGGAGCTTGCTTTTTGTGGCTGCTTCACCTGTTACTGAGAAATCTTGGGTATTGTTGTTTCTATGAAGTATACTTAACACAGTTGGAGATAGTTAGTCAGTGTCTTTGCTTGGCTGTGAGATGTATATATCTCCATTTTGTAAAATGTTTAAATATCCATTTTAGGAGCATAACCAATCATCTGAAAAGGCACAGGAGACAGGAAACAAATTGACTATTCTTACATGCATTGTACCAACTTGGATCTGAAACAGTTCTCCAGTCTTAGTACTTAAGGCCCTCGAAGTCTTTGTAGCTTTTAATAAATAATAGTGAAGTAACTGTGGTTGAAAGTCACTTCTGTAGTTTTTGAGGGAGCTGCAAACTATTCTGGAATATCTGATAGTGCTGTAAACACGTCCGATCAAGAGATGGTTAGTTTTCTGTTACACAGATGTATTTTGCTTTCATGTTTTTGAATGCTGTGGTATCCACTTAACCCACAGCTGCAAAATTAGATTTAAGAACAGAGCAATTAAATTGTGGAATAGCAATTACAGTATACGACTCCCCTGCTTGTTAAAGGAGCTTTGAGGATAAAGCAAGGCTGATTAGTTATGAGATCCCTTTTTGTTGTTCAACTTAATAAAATTCAGTGCTGCTATAATGTTAAGAATGGACCTCAACACATTCCAGAATATCGAATGTCAACTTCATAAGAGTATTGGGGGGGGTTAGGGGTGAATTGTACAGTGTGGTATGATTGTTCACTTTGGCAGATGAACTTGAGAAGCACTAAAGAGACCCATCTTTCTGCGTTGAACTAAAACTACTGTATAAAGATTAAAAGATATTTTTGTGTTTTTCTTTTGCAACTTGACTCATTTCTTGTTCATTTACCAAATTTGTATTGGAGGGTCTCAAACTTTCTTCTAATGAATGATGATAAGTTATAGAAGAAATATTTGGACTCGTAGTTCAAAACCCACAGGATCCACTATGATTTTAGTCATTATTTGTGGGAGACATGTCTTTGCTGTTTTGTTGCATGTCATTGAATTTGATGTTCTAGAAAAAAATGTTCTTTAAAATTTATTTATTTTATTTAAAATCTTTTTACCTCACATTTCTCCTTAAAAGGACCTAAGGCAGCTAAACTGTAATTTGTTTAAAGTTTTAATCAGGCTGCAAACAATTCATTTCCCTACATCTTTGTCCTCTTACCACCAACCACCACTTTGTATAGATACAATCAGACGTTCTGTTTTTGAGTTGTTTGGGTTAATAAGCTCAAAAATTGACCCTGGCAGACACAGTGACCTCATTACAATGCTAAAGGTAAGTGCCTTCCACAATGTCCGCATTTTCGCCATATATTTTAATAATGGGCATATGTGGAAATATGTGGAAAAGGTAAGACTTCCATTTCAATGTAACTAACAACATAGACAGCTTTTTCCCTTCCAGTCATTGGGCTCAACTAAGAGTTACAAATGATAGTCAGTGTGGTGTAATGAATAGAGTGTTGAACTAGGCGACCTGGGTTCGAATCCCTGTAGACCAGTGGTGTCGAACTGTGGCCCTCCAGATGTTCTTGGACTTCAACTCCCAGAAGCCTTCACCACCACCTCTGCTGGCCAGGATTTCTGGGAGTTGAAGGCCAAGAACATCTGGAGGGCCACAGTTCGACACCACTGCTGTAGACCATGAAAATGCAATAGGGACGGTAATAGTAAATCACTCCTTGAACATGTTACGAACATTGAAAATGCTTTTAGGGTTGGCATCCTGTCAGGAGGCAACCTGACAGAACATAACTACAAAGGTGTTACAAGAAGCCCTGACAGAAAGAGAAAATTCTTCAAAAGTTGATTATGTATGATTTATGCAACAGGAATTTTTCTCACAAATTAGCTTGTTTTGTTTTATGATTATTTTCAGACCATAAGCATGTTTGGTTCCAATTGTTCAAACATGAAAGACTGCCTCAGTCACGTTTCCTGAACCCTAATATGATTTCAGCAATAATGAAGGGTATTTCGAACATATTGCTGAACCCTTTTTATCTGCTATCAAAACTCTTAACAGGTTAGTGAGAGTAGATACTGAACTGAGCCCAAGTGAAGGAAACAGGGCTCTAGCTCAGAGCAAAAGTATACCTCAGAACTGGCAAAGGCAAGGATTCTGAAACTTATTGTTGGAGCCATATGTTTCTCTGCTCTGTGTACATGTGACGTAATAGTGGTGAACTTAGAAAGATAGGTAGCAATGATAGATTTATTCTGTTACTGTTTTCCATTTCTCTCCTTCCCATTTGCCCAGCCAAATCAGTTTGTAACCTCCAATTATTTGTGTTTAAAATATTACTTTGATTTTCACTCAGATGAGTCTAGTTGCATGTCTGAGAAACCAAAGAAGACCGCCTGAAATGGGCATTGGACATAATCCACAGTCGGGGTCAACCTTGTCTGAAATGATTTCTGGCCCAATCTTTAACTCAAAATATTTGCAGCAAACTTAAAATAAAAGTTGATTTTACTCTTGATCAAGAAAAGAACAGAATGTAATATTATACTAAAAGTCTGGAAACAAGGGTCTAAAATACCTGGGGGAATTGGTCTTTGCCTGATGCTGTCAAGGCTAATTCCCACAGATATTTCAGTGCCAAATAGAGTTGGGCACAAACCAAGAAAATGGCAGTTCATGATTGTGACAATTGCCCCACATCACTCATGCCATTCATAGTCATGAACTGATTTGCATGAGCCTATGAGAGGGCTGGAGAGGTGGAGTCAGCAGCTACATGAGGCTTGGCAGGAGAAGGAGGAGTCAGATTGGGATGAGATCTAGAGAGAGAGAGGGACTGGTTAGTCAAAGAGAGAGGGAAAAGATACTAATAGAGATAACTCTGGTTAAGAAATTAGAGAAGGTGGTAATGATATTGCAAGAGAAAAGTATGTACTGAGAACTTAATGATTTGCTTGTGTACAATGTTTATCTGAAGAACTTCTGTTATTAAATCTGCTTCACTTCAATAAATAAGTTCTTTTTGTATTCACAAGACAAATGTTCTGACAAACATCATTTATATTGTGGATTGAGGTAAACCACTGGTGGCAGCGAGAGAAAAACGTGATGTGAGCCTTTGTGAAGACAAAACACACAGGTGCCACAAGGGTGAATGCCACAATTGGTGTCCAGCGGCGGGATACAAAACAATCCAGTAAAGCCAGAGCTTGAAAATGAAATCTTTTTGAGTCATGGGTACCATTTTAGTCAGAGGTCTGTGGTGAAGAAGTAGGTGACCTGCTAGAGCTTTTGTGGAATAACTTAGTGGCGGGGCTTCTGATTCCAGATCTGGGGGGACTAAAGATAGGGATCCACTCTGAAGGAAAAATTCCTGTTTATTTACCTCGGGATTTGAGAGACCCACTGGCTAGCTTAAAATCCAAGGCTCTGAGAGAAGGGAGCGCTGGTGGATAAAAAGTGGAAGCCAGGGTCAGAGCAGATCTGAGGTGATAGGGGGGAAAAAGCAGAGGCTTGAAAATAGAATTTGTTTTGTCTGGAGGCAAGAAGGTTGTCTCAGACCAAGAAACATTGTGACTGATGTGAGGCCAGATAAAAGTGTAGCCATCTTTAGCTGCCGATTGAGAGCTACATGGTACCCCAGAAAAATACTGGGGAAAGAAAACAGCAGTAAAAGTTTTTTTAAAAAAAAGGCCTGACTAACTCAGCAATAGAAACCAGCTCCTTTTACTAATAAAGTACATACTTATGCCAGGGACGTGGTGGCGCTGCAGGCTAAACCGCAGAAGCCTCTGTGCTGCTAGATCAGAAGACCAGCAGTCGTAAGATCAAATCCACACAATGGAGTGAGCTCCCGTCGCTTGTCCCAGCTCCTGCCAACCTAGCAGTTTGAAAGCATTTAAAAATGCGAGTGGATAAATAGGTACCATCTCGGTGGGAAGGTAACGGCGTTCTGTGTCTAGTCACACTGGCCACGTGATCACGGAAACTGTTCGGACAAACGCTGGCTCTATGGCTTCAAAACAGGGATGAGCACCACGCCCTAGAGTCAGACACAACTGGACTAAATGTCAAGGGGAATCTTTACCTTACATACTTATGCCACCCAAAAGAACTAAAAAGCCAGTAATGGAGGAAATTGATTCTCAAGAAGCACAAAGTTTACCTCAGGAAGTGGAGGGAAATGGAGACTAACTCTAATGGAACAGGAGGACATTTATGAAAGTGCTTCAGAGAAAGTGTTCTAAGCTCCCCAGATTTTGAAAAATGGAAACTACAAGAATTTAAATTGAAATTTATGAAATATGAAAATTGAAATATGAAAACCCAATTAGAGGAGCTAGCTATGAAAAACCAATTAGAATTGGAAAAAGCCAGGGCGGAAGAGAAAGCTAAGGAAATAGAAATCAAAGCCAGGGCTGAAGAGAAAGCCCAGGAGCTACAGCTCAAGGAATTAGAGATTATGGAAAAAGAAAAGGCCAGACAAAAGGAAATAGATTTTGAAATGGAAAAAGAAAGGGCCAGAGAAAAGGCTGAGGACAGACAAATGGAATTAAGACAAAGAGAAATGGAATTTCAAATACAGATGAAACAATTAGAATTAGCTTCTCAAAATAACAATAATAACAGGACTAGCGAGAAGTCTCTCAAAGATCGATCTAAGGAAATTTCCCCAATATAGGAAAGGAGATTGCCCTGAATCTTTCCTGATTTCATTTGAGAGAGCATGCTGGGACTTTAAGATTAAGGATGATGAAAGAATGATAGTGTTAAGATTGCAAATAAATGGAGATTTAGCTGAGCTGTATTCTCAGATGCCTCTGGAACAGGCTAGAGATTTTGAAGCATATAGAAAAATTGTGTATTCTAGATTTGGCATAAATTCAGAACACCTTAGAAGAAAATTTCGTTCCCTTACCAAAAAGATTGAAGAATCTTATGCCCAAGTGAGGGCTAAATTGATTCAGTGTTTGGACAACTGGATGGAAGTCACCTCTCTAGATCAAATGAAAAATATGATTGGGTTAGAACAATTTTATTCTATTTTGCCTGGGGAATTGTGTCATTTTGTTAAAGACAAACATCCTAAAAATTTATTAGAAACAGGTTAAAAGGCAGATTGCATCAGTGAGATAAGAGACCTCAAGTTTTCTGAGGTAAAAATTGCTAAAAAAGTGTGGGACGGCAGGAGGAGAAAGGCCTCACCCAGTAGAGATTACCTCAGAAGTACCCAAGCTACTGGAAACCATTTTAGAGACAGACCCTCATCACCAGAGCACAGACATCTGAAACATAATAGCTCTGAGGGAAAAGTTAATAAGGCCCTTTGTTTTGAACCCAAGGCCAGTAAATGGTGTTATAGGTATGGAGAGAAAGGTCATTTTTGGGCTCAGGGTGAGACTCAAAAGACTAGGGATTGTAATCACCTTAAGGATGGAGATTCTAGTCCCCCTAAGAAGCAACACAAGTAACAGAAGGTCACAGAGCCAAGATCTTCCTGTGGCCAGGGTTGTTCAGTGCTTTCTGAGAGAAAGAAATCAAAATCTTCTATGCAGCTCAGGATATGTTATGTGTGTTGATAATAATATCTAGCACTCAAAGATTCTTGTTCACAA